GCTTATTCACCAAAAATAAGTTAAGCTGTGTAACATAAGCCTGTTTAACAAATTTCTAACTAAAACACCTCAGGTTTAAATTTCACATCTAAACTAGAGCTTATTATAGAAATCATTATCCCCTTTAAAGCTTGTTGGGAAAATAATAATAAATATGGTTAAAATAATAAGGTGGCTACCAGAAAAGTTAATTTTGTTTATAAACCAATATTAGAAAATGGTTATTCAACCCTCAAAAATCGGTTTTTGCCATTTCCTAACTTACTTACTTTACCTAAGTTTCGATTAAAAAAAAATTTAAAAAAAGGTTTCAATTTCGCTTGCTAGTAACAGCGTAGCAGAACAAATTGTTTGCTCACATTTGAGTGCCAAACGCTTTTATTCTTAAAAGATAGTTACAGGTAAAATATGATTTTTTTAGAACTTAGAAATATATGATTCGCATGAATTTTGTCTTAAATTTTAAGCCTATCGAAGGAAATCTTAAGCCCACCAAAAATTTTTAAGTAACACGTCAGTGAAGTAACAAAGTAAAAACTAACTCTACTCTTTCAAGGGACATCGGTGTTCCTTTTAAATATTTTTTCTGATGTTCCATTTACGAGCAAAAATATATTCTGTTATTAGTAGTTACAAAAAAAATATCGGACAGTTTTTATATATTTGTACTAAAATATAAAATTAAAGTATGTATTGTTTCACTCATATTCGAAAACTTATCCACTGATTTTGTATATTATCGAAATATCAATGATGAATAACAGTTTCTCTAAATAACTACACATTCCCATATCTAGGTCGCTGATGCATCACTACTAAAACTGAGATTAAATGAAGATAAAATTAAAAAAGAAATTTTGCTTAATATGGTTCAGATAATTATTAAGCTTAAAATAATGAAATGTGAACAATCTGAAATATTTTCAATGGAAAGGACGGTGGGTAAAAATTTATATTTTTCGTGACTAATATGTTAGAACGCATATAAATCTTATACTTAACCAAGATAAATGAGAATTTTAAAAAAAATACATTACGACCAATATAACTATTTTTCCAAAAATTATTATGTTAGGAGCTCAAATCTAGTTACTATAATTACTAGTATTTTTAAATAAAAAATTAAAATAAGGAGATTTTAAGGTCCTAAGCAACCATTGCTCATAACTCTCTATTCCACTTACTCTTTGAAACCGTGGTGGCTCAGGGCGTAGAGCACTCGCCTCCCAATGACATGAACTGGACGATGCGAATTCCGCACTCGGATCGCACCGACTACAGTGCTGACGTAACATATTCTCAGTGGTAAACGGACCATAGGTTAGAATCCCCTTGCCATAAGGATAATCGGGGGGGGGAGTTTTCGTGGTTTTCCTCTTAATGTGACGAAAATGCGAGTCCCATCAAAAAACTCCTCCACGAAAGTAAATTTCTCCCAATATTTAATCCATGAGTTTCCTTGTCTTCTGGATTGTGTTAAAAATTACAAGGCTACGGAGTTGAACATTAGTAGTCGTAAACCCTAAATTGGGTCAGCTGTTCAACGACAGTTATAAAATAAAATAACCCTCCATCCCCTTGTAAGTAACAATAAGCAAATCATTAAGTTGTTCATTAGTCAGTTATATTGGTATTTAACAAATTACAGATATATATTAAGGTTTATATTACAGATAAGTAAAGCCTGGATTTTAATAACATCTGCATATTTAGACACTTTTGCTAGTTTAGGGAGAAAACTTTTTTTAAATAGAAGTAAATTATTTTTACAACTTTCACTCATTTTAACACTAGTAGACTGTTCTAGTTGCAAATAACTTAGAGCCTTATTTGATTTACAGCTGGAACTGGAGTGCAATTTCTTTAGTAAAAAAAAATTTTTTTTTAAAATCTGAATTCGATTTGACAGTGCATCAAACGAGTTTTCCTTTCATCTTTTGAATTAGTGAAAATTAAGTTTTATATTCTCTTATTAAAAATGTTTTAATACAATTGCATGCTATATTAAATTTCAGAAAAGATGTGTTTCAGATTTAATTCTTGTATTAATACAAGGGACTTTTTTTTCCTCGTAGTGGTATTTTTTGCTATTTTTAAAGGTATGTTTTGCTATTTTTTGGAGATTTCTTGGGTTTTCAAAATCCGGACTTTACGAATCAGCAATAGAAAACTAACACATATTCCTAGACTGATAAAACAAATGAGAAAAAAAATTTCTAGAACCTTAAACTTTTAATATTAGTGTGGATTCTCTAGCCACTTTACTATTTTCGCGTGTCATATGTTGGCCCGATTTGATCACCTCTACGTTAAGCCATCTGAAAAAATAGTTTCCCAACCACAAAAATTTTTTTGCAAAAAAAAAAAATAAATAAAAAAAGACAAGTTACATCTAATTTTTGACATTAAAATCACACGTTTGAATCTTGTCTCCAAATGTATGACCGTTTTAATACATCGTTAGTTCATACATCAAACTATAAAAAAAAGAAAAATTGTTACAAACAATTTAATGGTCATATCAGAAGTTAACTATTTATTGAGCTACAGTGTTGAGAGCTTTGACCTAGAATTTTGACCACAACGATAACACATTTTCGAAAATTATTAACCGTAAAAAATCGTTAACCAGAAATTTTTTTTAAACCAAAATAAGAATTGCGGCTAAAACAGCTATTTAAAACTTTTAAAAAAATATCTGTCCCTTTTCAACGAAGTATAAAATTTTATACAGTGTTTGCTTCTAAGGAAAAGCTACAGAAAAAGCTTTTTTTGCGTGCTAAAAATTTCCGTTTGTCAACTTTTTACAAAACAGCTTCTTGTTCAAAACACCTAATTTTTGAGCAAAATTTACGAATTTTGTTTGCCCATAGAGCTCTCTTGCTTAACAGCTGAAAACATTTTCTTAACTGATCCATCAAATATAAAGTTACGGCAAAACAGGTTTTAACTAATTTTTGGCCAAAACAAAAATCAAATAAAATTCTGAATTTTGTCACAAAATGTTAGCTTATTATAAGATCGTGAACTCACTTTCACCCACCAAAACTTTTGAAACAAGCAAAAGTTAAAATAATTTTTTTTAATTTATTTATTTATTTATTTTTTTTAGATTAACAAGGAGAGAGAGAGGGACAGTTATCCTGGGGACTGCTGAGGGCCGATCAGAATTCCTTACGAAAATATAGCGTTCATTAATGTTCTTTTTCTTTCAAAGAAAATGGTAGATAATTTCTTTTTATTTATACAAAAACTACAATTTAGTGTGAAATCTTTGAAATTTAACAAATTATGAAAACTTTCTGAACTAGGAAATGGGGGTTGGTAGGAAGGGTTTAGGAAAACCTAAAGCCCAATGAAAAAATATTTGCAAATAGCTAAATAAATAAAAATAATATGCATCGATATTCTTGTAAGAGAGAAATCCTAATTTTCGAGAAATTGGTCTACTAAATTTAATGATATGCACAGTCTATCTAATATGAATAGTCTATTTAAACTTTACATCCCAGAATTTTCAATATCAAATTAATTCAAACATTAAAGTATGTAAAGTATATATATACGTATAATCTTATATCATTTAATTTTAAAAAACAAGTTTTTTTTAACAGTTTTTATAGAAAAGTTTAAATTTGAAACTTAATAACAGATTAGCTGAATTTTAGTTGAAATTGATCATTCAAATTTTAAAAATATTTACCAAGAAAATTTATAAATTATCAATACAAATATACTATATTAAGTAAAACTGATGATCCTTTACTGTTTACTGAATTATATATATTCAGCAATATATACTATTCTATAAAGAATAAGAATGTTAAAAAAGAACTGTTCTACACATTCTTAAATCACATTTATTCATTGAGATTAAGTCGGCAAGGGACTTAAATATCTTCATTTTAATTTACACTGAATTGAACAGTAAAAAACTTATCTTACCGTATCCATATTAGTATGCGATCATGAAATCAAAAGTTCTCAGTTCACCGAAATAATGTTGGAAGTTCGTTGATAAGGAAAGCATTAATGAAAAAAAAATGTTTTGAAATGTTGTTTGCGTTCTGTTAAAAAAAGATTTACAGATGTTCTAGATTGGTTTGTCAAGTTTTTCAGCTTTTTTCTTAGAGAAATTTTGCTTCCCATTTGCTGGTGGGAAAAAACAAGTCCTACCTATGCAGATATTCTGATGTTACTGAATGAAAACTTGATAAATAGAAGACTGAAAATTTCTGCCCCGCTAGAGGGTATATTCACACGTTGCGATTGCGTATTTTTTTTTAAAAAATATTTTAGCAATTGGTTATTTTATTTTATAACCGTCGTTGAACAGCCGACTCCACTTTGGGTTATTAATGTTAAACTTCGTAGCCTTAAAATTTTGAACCCACTCCAAAAGACTAGGGAACTCCAGGATCAATTGTGGGGAGAAATTTGCCTTCGAGGAAACTTTGATGGAACTAACCCGCATTTGCTTTACATGGACGTTATAGGAAGACCGAGAAACACTCCCACAGTTAGCCTAACGACAAGGGAACGTTAACCCACCATTCGTCTACAAGAAATATGATATGAATGAAATTTTACGCTAAGGGTGCGTAAGTCAAGTTTGTCTCGTGAGCTAACCACATTTTAATTTTAATCGCCCCATTTAAATAATTCTTCATGTCCCTAAATTATTGTTTTAAAAATAATCCATTTAAATTTTTCCCGGCTTCTACTAAATAAAAGCAGTTGAAACTAGATTTCATAATAGAAATATACGTAGATTAATATGGTATAAAAAATTTATACCTTAAATAAATTTTTTTCCATCCACAATGAAATAATAAAAATTAATAAATAATTATTAAAAATATTGTTTTTGCATGAAATGATCTTTGGGTAAATGAGTTTTATGAGTGTGTAAAATCTAATTAGAAATTGCTAAATTAGTCTATAAAGCATGATTAAAAACGCTAAAAGTGAAAATAATGTAAAGGGGACCAAATTTTCATCCGTTCCCTATTAGAGCCACAAAATCTATATTGCGGCATATTTAGAAGGTTAGGAATTCTAATATGCAAAAAAATTATATGTGTATTCAGAGAAAGTACATTTTTGTGCCCGATTTCGAGGAAGTCCGATCATTTAGAACAAAATATATTCAGAGTGATTTTTTTTTTGCTCACGGTACACATTGATATTGTATAACAAGAAAGTCATGAATTTATTAATGTTTCTTTAATTTTGTGATTTGATTGCTATTTCTTATTTTTAATTTCAGGTGGTCACCTTTAATTTTCTGGTAGAGAGTTACAGGTCCTCCTTTGGCAAGATCGAGGTGAAACAACTAAGGCTACTATTTTTAGGGTTAAAGAGAGAATAGAAGGGCTAGGTCACACTCCTTTGAAGAGACTCGTGCCGCTCCAATCTTCTGATTTCACCAGTGACGTCTCGGCGGCGAAAGTCTCAACTTCTCGCTTTACAAATAAATTGTTTCGCATCTAATTAGCGTCTTTTTTAAACTTATTTCAAAACATTCATTGTTTTCGATATTTTTTTTAAATATTTATTTTAAAGGTTATTTTCTTCACACCTGTTTGCAAAAATTTAGCAGTAGTAGCCAATAACATCTCGCGCGATAGCGACCGGCAAGAATTATTATAAAACACAAAATGAGAAACAATTTCGAGGAACGATCTGGAACATAGAATTTTCTATGTTTTATTCCAGAAAATATAAAGGTGTCATCAAATGAGGTATAAAATATACTGGAAGAATTTATTCTGCTGTGAATAAAAGTATTATATTTCCTGTTTTTTGTTTAGACGTTTAAGGATAACTTTAAACAGAAAAGAAAACAAATTCTGAACATCAAAGAAAAAAAATCCTGGTCAAAGAATATTAAATCCTGAACTTCAAAAATTTTCATATCCTCTAGTTCTGATTTTTGAGATCTGTGTGCGGCGTGACGTCATGAGATGGGGAATCATAGCTTCAGCTTTGAGTATGAAATGAACCAGCCCTTCATCTTCTCTTTAGCCCTAACTATTTTTATTTTACAAAAAATAGCCAAAAAGTGACCTTTTCACTAAAAAATTATACTCATTTTAGAAATATACGACGGTTGTAAATAATATATAATTACCAAACTATCGAGTAGCGTCAAATCTAATTATCAAATTCAAATAGAAATATCAGAACTCAAAACACCTTGCGAGAAAAGCCGAAAAACAATAAATAAAAGCTCAGGAAACCTATATAAATTTGTAATGCAGCCGTCGGAACCGGCATTTTTAAGTGAAAATTAATTGTTCTAATCGCGTTTCGTTATTCGCAAACGCAACGACCTATAGAAGGCATTGTTATTTGAGACGATTGGCTGCTATAAGAATAACACGTTCAGTTAGTTGCACTAGAGATTTTTCCAATGTGGCATGATTACGTCCCTTATATATAATGATTTACTAAATTTGAAAAAAAAATTATATTCCTTCTTATGCAGTTGACAAATCTCGAAGTAGAATCTATATTTTTTAAAGAAGGAATAAATAAAAAAAATTTGTATTAATATTCTTGTAAGAGAGAAATCCTAAATCTCGAGAAAGTGATCTACTAAATTTAATGATATGAATAGTCTATTTAAACTTTACATCCCATAATTTTCTGGATCGAATTACTTAAGCATGTAATTACTTAAAGCATGTAAAGTATACAAAAACTATAATCTTACGGTATTTAATTTTTTAAAAAAAAGTTTTTTGACAATTTTTGTAGAAAATTTAAATTTTTAATAAAAAAAAAAATATTACTTATAAACTGAAAAACGCTTAATAAAGTTTAAAAAAAATTTAAATATATTGAAATTAAAGCTTTGCACATTGAGTTGATTTTTTTCTTTTAAAGTTCTTTATCAGACCTAGAAAACCATTCTGCAAAAAACTATCATGAAATTAAAAGAAAAAATTTGTTTACAAATAAGTTTTCTTATTATAAAATCATAACACTTACCTGCTTTTTAAATCCAGAGAATCCCAAAATAAAATGTTCGTTGATTTCAAAATTTTATTCTCCAATATATACCTAGAATATCACTTCATAACTTTAAGATGACATATACTATAAAATGTTATAATTGTTAGGTCTCGATATGAATTTCATTATGTAACTTAAAAACAGATTAGCTGAATTCCAGTTGAAAGTGATCATTCAAAATTAAAAAGTACTTACCAAGAAAACATTAAAATTGTAGTAATAATCCACATAAATGTACTACTTCAAGTAAATCTGCTGATCCTTTACGGTTTTTCGATTTATATGTAGTATGTTATTCCATAAGGAAGAATGTTCAAGAACTGTTTTACACGCTCAAGTCAAAATTCTTGATGGTCCATTGAAACTTTTTTGATGGTTTATGCTGGTTTCAGAGCGATTCTTGATGGTCACCATCATCCTACATTTTCCATTTCGTTTTCATGGT